CAGGGCGTTTTTCTGGGGGGGGGGGTTGGTGCATTTGTATTTAATAGATTCCAGGACTGGACATATGTCTGTCCCCCACACACACACCCTTTTTGTTTTTTCAGGAAGTTGTTATGAAAAGATTTTTCCCTTAAGTAAGAAACCTATTTTAAAAAAAGTGTTTTTGTTTGAGAGAAGTCTTCAGATTTGGGAAAGAGGAAACAAATTTGTTTTTCCAATGTGCTGCATTAAAATAACATACTTTGTAAAATGATATGAATAGGTTTGGAGGCTAGAGATAATGAGAATGAAAAATACTTTTAGGCATTTTGGTTCTTCTGCACAATTAACATAGAGTAACTGGAAGTGAAATGGGGCATGGGTGGATTACAGATATGGTAGAGTAGAGACAGGGCAGAAAGACTTGATCATTGTAGTGAAGACTGATTTATTAAAGCAAAATGGATGCTGTTTTAATGAATCGACTTGGCTTACATAGCACCTAGCCAATCCCTGCTGCTTTCCTTACTGTCTGTCTCACTGGCTCGAACTCAACAAAAACTACCTTGACACTCAACACAGAATGGCTGATAAGAGTTGATTGCCATCTGTCAACATGAAAGTGCAGTTGCTCTTATACCCATTCCAGTTCAACTCCAGCACATCTTTCTTCCGCTTTTCCTACAGCTTAATGGACTCTTTTCTTTGCACTTTTCAGGCTTGATATTAAGTGGCAGTTGATTGTTGACATAATCTGCATTCTTGCTTTGGAAAACTCTAGCTTCCAACATTACTTCCACTCCCACTTACAGTTAATCTACATAACTGCATTGGCTGTTCCACCTTCATTTTGTTGTGGAACTCACCAAGATTCTTGCCTATAAAGACTCCAAGGAATACTCTAGGTATTCTATAACTCAGTGGTTCCCAATCTTTTTTCACTGACAGCATCCTAAACTCATATATCATATCCTATGATATTCTTGTTCCATTTTATACTAGTACAGTTGCCTCAAGAAAGCACACTGAGTTGAACTACTGGATAAAACTGAATCTATAAAGATCTAAAGCTAAAAATAAGAAAATATTTATTTTGATCCTGTTGTAATTAAAATGAATTACAGTAAAATATGTTGCAAATAAATCAACAGCTTTTAGATTTGCTTAATTATTATACATGCTTAGATTACCATTGTTTTTCTGATTTCAAATTACTGTGAAACAACCGACCAAACAGAAACTTACAGGGATTTTACTTCTCTTTAGTCACCTAGTGGAAAACCTGGACTTGATATTAGACAGAAACTGGACAAACTTTTCTTCCTTTGCAATCCCAGGTTTATGTTTTTTAGTGCAGGAGATTCCAATTCACCACAAGGTAAGATGTTGAAAATTGCAAGATTATCAGAACCTTTTGTCAGAACTCTAACAGTAATCAGGACAGGAAAAGGACAATCAAGGAGTTCAATTTATTTAAAAAAAAGATTAAGGAGATAGCACAAGAATTCTAATGTACATTTGCTTCCATATGTGACTCTTATGTACAAGCAATACAGGTAGTCCTCATTTAGCGACTGTCTTGGACAGCAATGGTTCATGGTTACAGCGGTGCTGAAAAAGTAACTTTGCAACCAATGCCTGCATTTACAACCTTTGCAGCAGTTCTCTCTCTCTCAGTCACGTGTTTGCCATTACAGTCACTACATGTTGTCCTGTGTAAAATCATAAGCACAGTCACAGTCACATGATTTGTCACTTAGTAATCACTTCACTTAACATCCAAGTTGCCAGTCCCAATTGTGGCCACTAAAAGAGGACTACCTGCACAAAGCATTAGTATCTAGCTTGCTTTCTCCCAACTTTTGGGTGAATGGGAAAGGTTATTGTCTCTTCTTGGAAGGCAGGCCAGCCTGTAGCTGGATATTGTTTACACAGTCATTAGTAACCACATTATCAGTGAGCAAATCCACACTCACATCTTTTTTGCAATATGAGAGTATTAATTCAATCATTTATGTCTACTTCAATTTCAGATTATGATCATTGCATATGTCCACTAATTACTTTTGTGAGACTAATCTGAGTGCGTTTGAGATTACTTCAGTGAAAGTGTTTCCTCAACCAATCATAGTTTTTAGTGATTAATTAGGAAAATAATATCATTTGCCAATAACTCATAACATTCTCCTTTTTGCTCAAAAGGAAAGAAAGCAAGCATTTAATGTTTTAGTTCATATACTTGTGACAACACTGTTATGTGACTTCTTGCAATTTCTACACAAAGTTTGGTAAACAGGCATGACTTTAAGTGACCTACTTTTAATGTACCTCACTGTTTTCATTACTTTGTCTAGCATACTCATGGCTGGCTGTTTTTGCAACCAATACTTCATGATGCAGAAAACTGGGTGTTAGTTACTTTTTTCACTAATAGTGCTATACCTCTTACTGAACTTATCACTGAAACAGCACCATCT